TTCGCAGCACCCGTCTGTCGTTCCACCAGAGCCTTGTATTTGTCGTAAACTTCCTTGATTTTGCTTTTAGACTCGATAAAGTACAAACACACTTTGTGACTGGCATCGTCGGCAAAGGTAACGAAGTAACGGCTTCCACCGATTGAAGGTATCTCGACCGGACCGCATACGTTGGAATGGACCAAATCCAACAAATCCTGTGCGTTTGAGGAACTAGAACGAAAAGAGCTCCTTGTGTGTTTACCTTGAACGTAAGCAACGCAGTCCACCATGGATTCCATCCGCAACTGCATTACATCGACCATCGTAACCAATTTACTCGTACGTAGCTTGCTGGTTCAAGTGTTCTAATCTTCGGTGCCATAAATTCGTGGTAGCCACCAGAAATGTGCTATCCGAGCTTTTGATGTCCAGCCTGTACATACAATTTTCTTGCATACGGTAACAACAATGTTGCCATCCTCATCACGAACTTCACAGCCATTCACGTTGACGGCACCGTCGAAAAATCGTCTCTTCTAAAAAAGAATGACAGTTTATTATAGGATTTTTCGGTGGAGTGAAAGGATAGTACAAAGTCCGCCATGTTTCACGCATAGTCTGACGTTTGCTTATGGATTTTACCATAGGAGTAACGAGCTACAGAGTCGCCGTCAACGCCAATCGTCCTTGAACAAAAAATTCATATTCTTCGCAGAAATCTTCCTTATCGACAACAGGTTTGTCGTCAACTTTGGAACCATCCAAACATCTTTCACTTCCAACGGACCTTCACCCAGTTCAAGGTTGACTGTATCTTTTACAACTGACTTGATACGTTGACTACTTGAATGTACCCAATCTGAATGCTTGACCAACCCCTCAGTTGACTGCGTCATTGGGGAAGTTGCACCGGAATCGAAATACCAGTTTTCTGATTTTCCGGTTACCACGGCCAGCAACGGGGCCGTACCTTTTCCCTTGGAGGAACTTGAAGATTGCTTCTGAGGACAATTAGCAGCAAAATGTCCCGGTTTCTTATCTGCACCACCTTTCGGGCGTTTTGATTTCTGCTTCGAGTAGAAAGCACCTTCGCTGCTTGAGTTCTAATTTTCGTCTTCACATCACAACATCTGCAGTTAACTAGATTCTCAACGCTTGAAGACCCATAATAATCATCGGATTAAAATACTCGGGAAACCCTTTCAGCAACAAAGACGCCAACCATTGGTCATTGACTTGGAATTCAATTTCGCTCAAATCGTCTGCCGTCGTCATCAGCCAGGTAACGCTAAGACCAGAAGGTCCCGAAGAAACCTGCTCAATTTTTTGGCTCAGCTCTGGTACTCCAAAAAAAATCCACTAACCCCTCATTTTATCTGTCAAACTTTCATAACGAATCAAAACAAACATTGTGTAGTAGTAGAATTTCGACTAGAATGGGGTACGTTAATCGTTTGCTTGGGACCAATAGGCTAGTCATGTAGTGAGCCAATTTAAAATCGTTAGTTTCGTATTGATTGTAAGTATTACTTCTGCGCCTGGCCATTGTTGTCGACACAATGCAATTTTGCGTTGGATGTGGATAAACTCAACTGCGAGTTTTTGGTCAAGACATGCCATAAGTTCCTCAAAACCGAGTTGGATTTCCCAGCAGCGCACATCCTAATGCCTGTCCGAAGCAGTACACCATCAGTTGCAGTAAATACATCAAAACCAGGGCAATCGGTACTGTGCTGGAAATGAGAGAACAGCTGACGGACTAATGTTCGGAAGGTCAAATCAAAGCTTTCAAGCTATCAGGACCAGTACGATCGGAGTGACTCGTCGTGAAACCGAGCAGTTATTTATCGCCCAATTATACAACGGCTATTTCATCGTAGGAAACTGCAGCAAAGATCTTGGCAAATCCATCCCAGGGTGGTACGGGTATTATCCTATCGGGTTTTGACAAGCAAATAACCACGCGAGATGCTTGTTGCTTGTTGTTTATATATTAAAAAAAATATGCTTTCTTCTAAAATATGTTTAGATCTATAGGTATAGGTATGCTTCGTGTTGGAGATGACGCAAGAAAGGAAGAGAAACGGATGGAACCGTAACCTTTACTACTCCACAACTTCTACTACTACTGTGTGTTGTGTTTCGGTTAGAACGGTTTGAACAATGGAATCGTCTAGTTTAAGTTGACTTTTATTTTGCTGCAGTTGCGGCATGGTGGCTTTCGATGACTGTTCCTCAACCGTGGTCGTTCTGGTGGTAAAACTGGTTGTGATGGTAGCTGATTGCAACATCCGCGGCAGCTTTCCCCAGCGGCTATTCTTGATCGCCTTATCGAGGCCCAGTTTGTCCAGTATTGGCTTGTCCAGCTGGGGTATTTCTGGACCATCGTCATGGTTCGGGTCGAATTCCACTGCTTGTTGTCTTACTTCACATCAAAACATTTGAACTGTCAAATTAACCGGGTTGCCAAACACCCCATTTTTCACAAACAAATAAAGTTGCCTGGCACTCTCGGCACTGCCAGCACAGCTGCGGCACACGTGAAAAAAGTTGCCACAAAAAGTATGTAGAGTGACCACCCCTTACAAAGGTATTACAACGGTGTACTTTGTTTGTCTGTACAGTCCTTGTAGAGTCCACAAATAACCGCTACGTAGGCTATATATGAACTTCCACTATGAATTTTCAATTGGCTTGTTTAACTTCGAAAAATATACCAATTTTTTACATCATCTGTTAGAGCTTCGGTTTCTGAGCACAACGATATTTTTGACGTAGGACTACGTCTGTGATTTTTATATGGGGGTACACTTTATGAAAACCGATAATGGAACATGTAACAACATTATGAAAGATTTTGAACGTTAATAACTCAGCTTCCCCTGGACCAATTTCAATAATTTTATCACCAATCGATCAGAAATATTCCTACGCATCTGTTAAAGTTAAGACATTTTTATACAAAATATCACTATCAAAAATTGCACGAATGTGCAACAGTTGCTATGATAGTTAAAATAATCACCGATTGCCTGCGAAAAACGAACTCCCTAACACAGATTTCAAAGTTGAATTCCATCCGGTCTCACCAAATGGTGTTTATTCAATCACAGCGTGGTGAGTGGTGGTGTTCGAGCTGCAGCCCACATGACCATTCATAGAAGGAGGAAAAAGCCGCACAGCTATTGACCGGAATCAGTAGCTCTTCGTGAGTCGCTGGCTATGTCAAGCGCGTCATGTTAAAGAGTATAAACAGAGAGAACCCCCCTCAAATTCCTATTCCTAATAACAAATAAGATTTATTATATAAGACCACGTAGTCCTACGTCACCATTGCGTACAACCCCATTGGGCGTCCCTTGAAGTTTTATCGATTTCGTAGACATTCATCTCGATTTTTAAATCAAGATTTAAATTTTTGATCGTTGACGCTAAATCTATTCGTTGACAGCTCGCTCCCATACAAAATCCCACCAAGGGGCGCTAAGATGGTGATTTTTGATAATGTAATCGTTCTTATTTAAAATAGTTCCAGTGTACCAAAATTGATGAAATTTTGGATTTCGGTTCCATTTTTAATGCAGATAACGAATGTGTATTTATCCCCTAAACAACCCAATTAAACAAATCTCGAAAATAGGTGCCTCATTTCACCTGAAATTTCTACTTCATGTATGCTGCAGTGCAGCAAACGTGGAGTAACAATTTAATTGTTGCACGCGTCATAGAAGCTGATATTTTTGCACTTAAAGTTTCGAAGTGGTTACGAGAATATGGATGTCACAGCGAATCACCTTAAAATTATCAGACTTTTTTCTAAGGGTCGGATATCCCCGGAGGATGCGTCATTGTAAAAATTTACCAGTGTAGTAGCATATTTTGATGTTAGAGATGTCTATATCACGAGATCTCAAACATATAGGATGTTGCCAAGGATGTTGCTTCCTTCTGCAAGATGTTCAGGAATACAATGTTTTCAAAACTATGAACAGTGTATGACATAATTTACTCACTAGATGGCGCTAAATCTAAAATGATCAAGTTGCGCCATCCTGAATTCGCGTCATGTATGCTCGATGAATGTATTTAAACGATTCCTTGGCCTTCAACCGAGCAAATCCAGATTTTACGCTCGAGCGCCATACAATTTGACAAACGCCACCCCTTTCTGACATATGACGATTACCCGATTATGGCAAAGATTAAGATGGCCATGATTTAAGAAAATTGTCGACACTTTAGACAGCACATGCAAAACCAATCTGATTTCCATTTTGGTTGAGTCGATTTCGTGCATAAATTCAATGTAATCGTTATTCAGAAGTGTCCTAATTTCTCAGATACAGAAAAAGGCCTATAAAGTCTTGTGTGGATGGGTGTCACACAAAACATGGCCAACAAAAAGTGAGCTTTCATCATTTTCCTATAGTTCGAACGGCGCGTGATAATATTCAAAGAGAGCTGTGGATTGAGGCCGTAGGCATAGAAAGAAGAGACGTTTCCAATTTAGTGTAATATGGTCTGGTTGTTCAGAAATCGAATCCGCTCGGGTATTCACTTCGTCTATAATGGAACGGATCTCGGTAACCGTTCGAACCAGCTCGTTCTGATTTCCCAGCAAATCATCAACTCCTAGGCGCTGAACGATGCTTCCGGAAGAGATTCGGGGTGCAATTTGATCTGATTTGCATCTAACTAATAGAGAACCCCTGGGTAGACAAAATCAAGACAGCACTGTCTATTTGTTCATAACTCGTCATCACACATACACACCTCAACCCACCTTCCCTCGTCACCTCGCTCGGTCCGATGTGTGTGGTGACTCCCTTCATCAACCGATCCGTTCTCCGCTCATCACAAATATAATTACTCTAATTTAACCCCTCGTTCGCGCCCGGTACCCTCATCAAGCCACCCCACCCCAATAACGCAAAACTAAAAGATTATTAAACAGAGAAAAGGTACAAAAATAACCCATCTCTCACCCTTGTCGTCCCTCTCGTACCTTCCGCCTGCAGCCATTCTCAACACCCTGTGCAAGGAGTTTCTGCACGCGAACGTGACCGCCATCCTGTACATGATGAACTACGAATCGTACGGCCGGAGCACGGCCTCGGCCCAGTACTTCCTGCAGCTGGCCGGCTATCTCGGAATTCCGGTCATCTCGTGGAACGCGGACAACTCCGGCCTGGAGCGGAGGGCGTCGCAGTCGACGCTACAGCTGCAGCTGGCGCCCAGCATCGAACATCAGGTTCGTCGTCTCCAGTCTAATGGATTTTGAAATGAAATGTTTTTTAAATTTTTGTTTGCTTTCAGAGCGCAGCCATGCTGAGCATTCTGGAACGGTACAAGTGGCACCAGTTTTCGGTGGTGACGTCGCAAATTGCCGGACACGACGACTTTGTGCAGGCCGTGCGGGAACAGGTGGCCGCAATGGTAAGTCGAAATTTTTGAAATCGTTTGTCTCGAGGGAGGGCACTGAACGCTTCTCTGAGTCAGGATAATGAGGATAATTGTAGTGAGAACGTGGTGAAGTACGTACGTGTGGAGGAGAGAAGTGGGTCTCTACTAAGTAGATGACGTATTTTGGATGTAATGCTGTAATTTCTATGGGTGTGCTTACCTCAGAAAGTGTCAATGCCATGCCTGTGGTATACTTATATTTGCATTTTGATGGCGAGAATCGTGTCGTTTTTGCCGTGGAACCATTATACTGCCAAACCTGTACCTTCTTGAAAAGTCACGTAAGAAACGGAAAATTATTTTGTGGATGAAAACGGCTAATGATTAATCCTGTCTGTCAGGTATAATATATGCTGATTGTCTCATTCCCGGACAAGTCAAGAATGACCTAAAAAGCGTTGAAGTGTTAAATTTAGTGGGTTGGTGTTTCTTTATTCAGAACTAGAAAAACTCAGAGGGAGAGATGGGCGGAGAGAATGTTTTGAGCCAAATGAACTGTCAAAATCTGAGGCAATCGAACATTCCAATTAGAATTTTCCCGAGGATTTCGTATTCTTACTAGAATAAATTTGCGAGTATTGCAATCGAACAGAAATTCAATCACCTTTATGTTTTGTTTGCTCCGCAAATTCAACTAGTTTTTGGAACCAAATTAATATTCTAACTCTATTGATTAATTGATCTTCGTTGGTTAATTAATGGCACCAAGAAATGTGCAAAATATTGCGATGCAATCGATTATTATTTTGCACGTAAATCGAATCAAAAATAAAAGTCATTTGAAATGCTAGCTTCTAGCAAGGGTTGCAAGATAATTTAGGAACAAATCCATGCTGCCGAATTGTATTTTGTTTTCTCCGTCTATCTCTCCCTTTGAGTATTTCTATTCAGAACCCTAGGTTGAGGGATTTGGCTTGCCACTTGCCAGCCACTTAGCTGGCCCTGATGCCCGACGAGGCGTCCTCGAGCAGAGTACCTACTTCCCCCAAAAGTCGTTACTGCTTTACCTTCCATGGTTTTGAGCTACGAAGGGGAGACAGCTTTTTAGAGAAAGTAGATTTAGGGTGGACAACTACTTGGACATAAGCGCACTGGCTGTGTTGTTGTTAGATTAGATTAGATTAGATTAGACAACTACTTGGACATAAGCGCCTATTTCTGTCATATCGAGCAGAAACTTCAAATATAACAATGATTCGGAAGCGCAGGACTGCAACGCCTATCATCTGCGAACACCTCGAGTGAAGTCAAATTTATGTGATGCTAATTTAACAGCTCCCGTCTTTTTCTCTACGATTAAGCATGGTTCATGTAATTGCGAAAAATAGAGAAAATTGTCTAGATAATGTTATGGTAAAGCACGATTCACTCAAATTGCGCTCGTCAATTCGAAAACAATTAAATCAATTTTTTAATTGACTATTGCAAGAAATTTAGATTGGTTTTGAGGACATTAATGTGTTGCCTTTTTGCCACATTTAATGTTACATTGTTGGAGCTTTAATATGTTACACGGCAAAAAGTTGTCACATCTAATCCAAATGCACTTGACTTAGTCTGTCATGCGGCACTGCGAATCGAAGTGATTTATCGCTGATTTTCAAGTGATTTGTGTTTTGAAACAAAGTGATTTCTCCTTGAAAAATATGTACTGTATAACACCTTTAAATCAAAATGATTATCATTTGAATTGGCACCACTGTTTTCATCAATTGAATTTGATTAGTTTTGCTTTTGGAAGCAAATGTCAAAATCGCACATGCCAAACATCTCGCGAAGATGGTAAGTCAACAACAAATGAATTAAGAGAAAGAAAGCGATAATTCTCCATTTCCACCCATTTGCATTCTAGAGTGCGAGTATTACGAAATTGTTGCTGTATTTAATAATAGTATATTATTCAGATAAGTTCAATTACAAAAAATGTCAAACTTATCAAATTGATTGCTCAATTTTACTTCTACTACAAGCCTTGTAATGTTGTTCAATATCTCTTGGACACATGTGATCTGGGTAGTAATATGATACACGTTATATGGTTATATTCTGAATAACATATAACAAGGATTGCAACATAACATATAACAACATATAACATATAACAACGATGTGCAATACAATCCTAAAATGAAGTGATTTGCTGTTGATTTCATCTTCCAAGGGATTTACACATCGATTTGCAAGGTTTGGCAAGTATTACAAATTCAACAGCAATTCACTTTACATGAACATGATGTTTTTTTACCGTGTACGGATCAGCAGCGCTGTTGATGTTTTCGTCAGATTCAAGAACTGGATCTCATTACAGCGGGTTGTTCGGAAGTGGTCAAAGCGCCTAACAGAGACGCGCGAAGACTGAAACCAAAAGTTCCAATCGCATGGTCAAATGCGGTTCCAATCGAGCAATGTAGATTAACACGAGCGCTTCACGAGGAAAAGCATGGGGAGTATTGAGATTGAAGTTTAATTTTTGATGATTAAATAATTATAAATAATTTTGCGTATGAAAAGTATACATCATCAATCAAGTCAAATTCGCAACAATTAAAAAAAAAACAGGAACTGCACCCGGAGTTGCTAATAGTTTTCCCCTGTCAGATACAAATCAGATTTCATACGATTTCAATCTAAACGAAAATTCAATTACCAATATGGTAAATTACTTACGCTACATAATCGAGAGTTTTCTGTCACGGCTTGATTGGGAGGAAGCTGAAAAAATTGAACCCACTTATTCCTGACGCTGTTTTTGGGAAACTGACATTTTGTAACGTTTTATTCGTTTTCGTTTCATTTCATTGGAATTTTTTAAATAATGACTAGGGGAAATGCTCCTATAGTTGCAGTACGTTAGTAGCGTTAGGCTCCTATAGTTGTGTACGGAGTCTCCATACACAACTATAGGAACCTAACGCTTCTAACGTACCGCAACTATAGGAGCGTTTACCCTACTGATACGGTTAAAAAAGTATTCATTTTACCTAATCCTCTGGCACAGTCATTAGTTTTCGAAGCCACCGCCTATGATGGTGGTGGCGCTGTTATCGGCATGAGTTTAAGCTACCTACATACGTACTGTGATGCGGCACACGCGGCAAATAAATTTTCCGTATTTGAAGATTTCAGATATACAGGTATCGGAAATAAATGTAAAAAATTGGTTTGGAGTTACATCTGCACATTACTTGCTCTATCTTGGGAACGCATCAATTGAAAATTTTGTTTTTTCATTCATCAAACACCGGATGGATTACAAATAAGTCGATTATGCACTCTAGCGCTCATTTTTGATATGAGGGTACATCATGATAATCATCAGTTCAACGTTTCAACTTTAGGCTATATAAAATGCTATCGCACATATCAAGGGTAACAAAAAATAGTTTTAAAGACCGACATATTTTTGGCCACCTTCCCATAGTGCAGCGATGGGCATGCCACAGACTTTTTGAATTTGGTTCAGTTTTTCAATAAACTTCCATTCAATCCGCCCCGTGTGTGTCTTGAAGACTTGTTTCGCCGCGAACATATTCCTCTCCAATTTCAGCATGTGGCATGCATCCAATATTACAAATACCGGATCGGCACTGACGGGATGCGGAAAGTAAGTCTTCAAATTGGGCCCGTACTTGAGGCATGCCCCCAGCCTATTCGCCATGTTTATGTTAGTGCTGGTACCATCGAACGTAAAAGAGACAACCGTTACTTCAATGTTGGCTAGGTACGTTAGGATATTCTCAACTAGCGAAACTTTCTGGACTGTATCCAAGGAGTCAGTCAAGATGTAGCCGATTGGAATTTTTCAGCTCTCAGTAACTCCGGTTAACATGAACACTAATGCTTCTTTGGCGACCGGCAGCTCATCCGAGCTTTCTGGTAAAAAATCAGAAAATTGTACCACTCCTTCGAAACACTTTTTAAAATCTTTCCATTCCGTTTGCCACCTAATAGCAACTTCGTCCATCATCATTCCTACAAACAATCTCTTTTCAACAGCGTTGTACCAACAATCAATACGAAACTAACGATTTTAAATTGGCTCACCACTTTAGTAGCCTATTGGTCCCAAGCAAACGATTAACGTACCCTATTCTAGTTGAAATTCTATTACTACACTATGTTTGTTTTGATTCGCTATGAAAGTTTGACAGATAACATCAGGGGTGTGTGGATTCATGCAGAACATGCAGGGGTGAGTGAAATAGCTTGGGACTGCTTGGGACCGTTGTTCTGGTACTGAGTGAGCCAAAAATAATAATGATTTTCTTCGGGACCCAGTGGTCTTAGAGTTACCTCTATGGTTGTACTCCTTAGATTTGGCCTTTAGCACTGCCGTAGTCTCAGCAGGTAATCCAGGTTCTCCATCAATAGATTTGTACCAACGAATTAGAGTTCTCGGGTGGGGAAGACGATTTTGGAACAATTTGCGTACGAACTGATACGCACGAGGTGAATAATAGTGTAGAGTGATCGCAAATTTCTTCAGTTCTTCATTGTAGGGCTGTCCTGGTCGGTACGATTCCAGAGTACGAAGCAAAGAATCACTTTCACTGAACACCTACATATCAAAATAAGATTAATAATAGATGTGAACACATATTTTTTTGACGTAGGACTACGTCTGTGATTTCTATATGGGGGTACACTTTGTGAAAACCGAAAATGGAACTTGTAACAAAATAATGAAAGATTTTGAACGCTAATAACTCAACTGCCCCTGAACCAATTTCAATAATTTTATCACCAATCGATCAGATATATTTCTACGCATCTGTCAAAATTAAGACGTTATCATTTTTCAAAATTTCACTATTTAAGATTGCACGAATGTGCAACTGTTGCTTTGAGCACCGATTACCTGTGAAAAGCGATTTCCCTAACACAGATTTCAAAGTTGAATTCGATCCGGTCTCACATTCAATCACAGCGTGGTGAGTGGTGGTGTTCTCCAGTATACAACGAAGGGCTGTCTG